CAGGCGGGCCGCCCCCGCCAGCCCTCGCTGCGTGCCCTGCGTCCCCGGTACTGATACAGCTTTGCAGAGGAGACTCCGCTTCCTGCCTCCATCCGGGCCAGAGGCTCTGGGGCCCTTCCAGAACACTCGGGAGCCACCTGTGCACGTCTTCTTAGTCGCCACAGCCCCGGTGCAGGCCTGGTAGGAGACGGATCCCCGCGGAAACGTCTCGACTGACTCAGTCTCTTTCTGCACACCCTGCTCTTCCCTGGGCGCGTTCTAGCCTTACATAATTATTCCTGTGTGGTTCAGGCGCTGCGGAAGAAGGCACCTAGACTGCGCTGGGAAAGGTCAGTGGAGGAAAGTGCTTCAGGCAGACGAAATAGCTTGTGCCAAGGCCCAGAGACCCCGGGGGGGAGCCTAATAATGGTAACAGTCAGCACTTTCCACGCGCGAGGCATGTTCTGAGTGTGTGTCCTGTGTCATTTCTGTGATGCTCGCACATCGTTAGGGGGTACATACCACTGGAACCTCCTCTTTTAACAAATGAGGAAACTGAGGCACACAGCGGTTAAGGGACTTACGCCATGTCACACGGCAGTGGAGCTGGGCTTGGGCAGGGGGGCAGTGGAACCTGGAGAGCCCAGGGGGCAAATGGCCAAGGCTGGAGGGGCTGGCAAGGGAGGGACCGCAAAGGGCCTCACAGGAGCTAGACGAGGGCCCTGGGCACCAGAGATTATGGTGCCCCCCCATGTGGATTGAAGATTAAACCTTGAAGCAAGTGTATAATGCCCTCAAAATCACGTTTTGAAGTCATCACCTCAATAAAATTTTCTACATCAAATTAGTAATCTAAATAGTCATTTGCTGGTGGCTTAAACACATGCCTAGTTTGTCTTTTACCCAACAGGTATATTTCCACACTGCCCGTAAATTTTCTGCGCGGTCCCCAGAGCGCCCCCCATGAGGCACCTGCACCGGGAGCAGACGTGGATGCCACTGCCTAGAGGCTGGGGCTTCTCTGCAGACTGGGACTGTCCCATAAGGATACTGAGCTAAGGATAATGCAGAATAACCGTTGAAAGTACCCAAGACCAGAGCATGGAAGCAGAGCGGAATATGGATCAGAGGGAGACAGGAGTCAGGGCCCTGCAGTTGGAGGCGGGTACAGTAATCAGATGTGGGAGTGGGTACAATGACAATGAGCTTCTAATGGTGATGGGGTGGAGGGGCAGAGAAAGCTGTTTAGGAGGCTGAATCCACAGGGCTTTGTCCCCATGTCATCTTGGTCAGAGTCTTGGAATCTCCTGCTCACGCCCCCTTCACTGTCCTCTCTGCATGCCCCTTTTGAATCCACTGCGCATCACTTGAGGCCCTAGATCCAGCCTGTGCAATTCTCAGGTTTGTTTTGTGCAATTATGGGCTCCCAGCTAGACTGCAAGCTGCCCAGTGCTGGGCTGACTCTTATAACAGAAATCATTTCTCAATTTACGATGTGGAGATAGAGCTGTGTTTTCTAAACAATGGGCTTCACATTCCCATAAACCTAAACAGCAGATTTTAGCCATTCCAAGGGCCTCTGCCCACAATTCAGTTCAGCAACAACCACCGTGAGCTGCTCTGTGCTGTGCCCTGAGCCAGAGATGGAGCGGACAAGCCTCTGCCCCTGAGCAGCCCCCACAGCAACAGGGGTGACAGCTGGTGAACACGGCAATTTCCAAGGCAGAATGAAAGCTGTGCTCCCACAGAGGAGCCAACAAAGTGGCTGGAAGGGCAGAGGAGCAGGGAAGTGGGAGCAGACCATGTGGGAGTGGAATCCCAGAATACTAGGACTGGAAGGGAACTGAGGTGGGGTAGCTTTCTTGGAGAAAGTAGTGTCAAAACAAGGGCTTTCCCTAGCCACCTGGCAACTCTGTGATCTTAACCTCTCAGACTCAGTGTCTCATCAAGAAAAGGGGGCTAATGATCATAGAACTGTTAAGGGTATTCAGTGAGAATGTATATAGAGCACTTAGCATAACCACTGGCTTACAGTAAGCACTCAAAAAACATGAGCTAGTTATTGCATCATTCAAGTCCCCAGCAGACACCAAATTTGCCTTCCTCATTTACCATTTCTATCACAGGACTGTGATTTTACATATATATATATACACACACACACACATATATATATATATTTTGAGACGGAGTTTCACTCGTCACCCAGGCTGGAGTGTAGTGGCACAATCTTGGCTCACTGCAACCTCTGCCTCCCAGATTCAAGCAATTGTCCTGCCTCAGCCCCCCGAGTAGCTGGGATTACAGGTGCCCACCACCACACCTGGCTAATTTTTGTATTTTTAGTAGAGATGGGGTTTCACCACCTTGACCAGGCTGGTCACCTGACCTCAGGTGATCCACCCGCCTCAGTCTCCCAAAGTGCTGGGATTACAGGTGTGAGCCACCACACCTGGCCCAGAACTGTGATTATACTTTAACCCTTTTCCTAGCATCTAGTTATTTCCTACATGTTCTTGTGTGCAGGCATTTGTTGAATGGAAACGCACCTTTAGCCAGGCATGGTGGTGCACGCTTGTAACTCCAGCTACTCAGGAGGCTGAGGCAGGAGAATCGTTTGAGCTTGGGAGGTGGAGGTTGCGGTCGACTGAGACTGTGCCACTGCACTCCAGTGGGCAACAGAATAAGTCCCTATCTCAAAAAAAAAGAAAAAAAAGAAAAAAAATGCACTTTTTGTTGGTGCCACTGCCAGGTGAACTTTGCCAGAAAACCTTAATTACTTGTTAAGATTCTGTACCATAGTCCAGAATCTAGGAAGATGGAGGTCAAGCTGGTCTTGCATGCTTCTCCTGCCAAGAGGCCTAGAAGGGGAAGCAAATTAGGGTGAAAACACTATCCTATACAAAGTCCCGGCAGCTTGAAGTTCCTCAATTCTATGGAGAACAGAGTAAGCACTTCCTTCAGAATCCATTAGGCTCCAAATTCCTTTTAATCAGGATATTTGGCCTTCACAGCTTTGGCAAACATGCATCGACCTCACCAAATGGCTATGTCATAAGGAATGTGGCCTGATGACCAAGAACACAGGTGGCATGAGTTTCAGCCCCTTTACCTCCGAAGCCTCTAGCCCTTTTCTTCTTGTTACTAAGTTAGCATTTGGCTGCTCTATTATAAAGCCGACTGTCTAGAGGCTGGAGGAAACAGAAGTGCCAGACTTGAATAGGGAGTGGAGAACTTCAAGGTTCACTTCTGTCATTTATTCATTTCGTGAGCTCAGGGAAATCACTTTCTCTTCTACTTTCCCATCTCAGTTTCTCCATCTGTAAAACAAAGGAGCTAGATATGATGACCGATTTTGCTTCCACCTCTGAAATTCTACCACTTAACCAGAAATTTCAGCATACTGTGACATAGTATGAAAAATTGGTGCCATTCTCTCAGAACCCAGTATCTCCAAGATTTCTAGTATCTTTTTACATAATACTATTTGTTTAATCATGTAAGTAGGACAGATATCCTACATGTTCATGTTAATATCCGGGTTTTTTTTTTTTTTTGAGACAGGGTCTTGCTGTGTCACCCAGGCTGGAAAGCACTGGTGCAATCATGGCTCACGTGATCCTCCCACCTTAACCTCCCTAGTAGTTGGGGCTACAGGCATGTGCCACCATGCCTAATTGCTTTTTTAGTTTTAGTAGATACAAGGTCTTACTATGTTTCCCAGCCTGGTCTCAAATTCTGAACTCAAGTGATCCTCCTGCCTTGGCGCCCCATAGTGCTGGGATTATGGGCGTGAGCCACCATGCCCAGCCATATTAAACAAAATTAACAAGGATGAAAGAAAACAAAATCTATTAAGCTCTACAATTTATCCGTCAAGATATTTTGATTCGTATAATGCATTTAAGTACCTATAACATGATTATACTCCAGGGTAACATTTATAGATAAGGTAGTGCTTGAAAAGAAAATCAGGAAATACAAAATATTTGTTACTGCAAGCAATTTTAATACAAAAGTGTGTCTTGTTTTTAAACAGTTCATTGGTAGAGCTTCAGTTTCTGCCTCAATTAAAACCAATTGAGATAATCACACAGCAACATGGTCGGAGCTGAAGAACAGCAGCTAAAAAACAGGAGCCCCAGACAGCCCCTCTTCGTGGTCACTTGGTCAGTTGACTTTATTACGCACAAAAAAAGACGAAAGCAAACGGGACTGGTTAACAAGTGTGCTGGTGAACTCCATTAAAGGACGAGCACGTGTTTGTCTTACGTCCACATTTTCAGAACAGGCTCGTGGAATTCATTCCTCAGTTTGTGGGAAGTTGATCGACCATTTAAATAAATAGCAAAAAGAGTGGATAAAACAAATTTGAAATTCACAATGTCACCAACAAGCCTATCCCTTGCCAAGGGTCTGGGTCCTGGTGAACACAAGAGTTATCGGTGTCTAGGCTGGTAGGGAGCAACAAATCAAGTTTAAAACCCCAAATGTTCTGACGTTTTCTGAACATGTACATTTACCCCTGAATTCTAGCAGCCATTTGTCCTTTAAACACCCAGTACTGAAACAATATCCAAAGACAGTATTGCAATGAACTCCTTTTGCTGTATCATGTGCAAATGTTACTTAGATGAGGTTCCCTCTCTTTAGCTAAAAATCACAAAACATTAAACAATGGAAAAAGCAGTAATAAGTGCCCTCCCCTCAGTTCTTGCTAATTGAGGTGTCTATGATTTACAAAAAAAGAGTTCCTTAAACACTGCAGGATTCTTATTTTTTTTTAATATAATTTATCTTGCTGAGATAGCAAGTCAAGTTTATAAAGAAGATGCATTTAGGAATAATCCTAAAAGATAAAGCAGGTTTACAACCCTGCACCGCGCAGAAACCCTATTAATAGGCTTTTTTTTTTTTTTTTTTTTTTAAATACACATTTGTATCTTGACCTTTTCACTTGTTTTTCTCAAATATTTCATTTCTGGGCCCCATCCATTACAGGGTTACCAGGAGGCAAATTTTATCTACATAAATATTCACATGAAAATAGTAACTTACAAAAAGAAAAAAAAATAAGGCAGCTTCATAACACAAGTATTCTTTTACACTTTTAACAATATAACTTCTCCCGTTCAGAATAAATATACACCCAATGTACGGAGCAGGATTCAAAGTGGAGAGTGGCTTGGGGGTGCTTGGACAGTGTTATCGCTTGGGACCTGGAGTCCTGGGGGAGGCAGTGGTGGTCTTCTTAGACATAGTTGGGATTTTGGAAGGTTTGTTTAGCCCTCTCCTGGAGTTGCCTTGGCCCCCTGCAGCGCTGCTTTCTGAAGTGTCGGAACAAGCAGACTGTGTCTCTAAGAGGTCAAAGTCAGAGGCATCGCTTCCTCGCCGGCTGCTGGCTCGACTCCCAGCTCGACTCCCAGCCCGACTCCCAGGGCGACTGGCTGACTTTTTAGGGTCTGGAATTCAAGAATCAAACAGCAGACTTATAGAGACGGCATGGGGTGGAAGAACAAGTGAGCAGAGGCTAGGGTTCTGATCCTGTGTGATCTTAAGCAAATCTCACAGCCTTTCCGCACCCCCGTTTCCTCATCTATACAGAAGTTGCTGAGGCCTTTTCTAGCTTTGTGATTCTACTTGAGAAGCTGTCTCCTAGGGATTAGAAAGCCACTTCTATCAGCAGCACTGTCATCTTCCATGCCCCCAAAGTGGAGGCAAGCAGGGTTGCTCAACCACCTCAGCACAGGTGGGTGAGCCTGCCAGCTGGGCGAGCCTGCCAGCTGGGCTAATCCATGGGCAGGATGGATAGAGGCCAAATGAGGGGAAGCAGCCAGCAGGAAATGAAGGCAGATTCCTAGGTTCCCATGAGGAACAGTAGCAGGGGAACAGATGTGATCTTCCCCTGCCTTTCTCAGTTCAACAGCAGCCATCATAAGTATGACGTGTTGCAAACATTACTAGCAAGCTGCTCATCCCAACACTGGACTGGTGTCTGAGGAAGACCCACATTTCCTTTTACATTCTCTCAAATGAGACCATTTCTGATGAGAACGCATGGCTCAGCTTTTGGCTGTGGAAGCATCTCATCTCAGAAGGAAAGCTTAAAGCTAGTTGTAATGACAGAAAAAGTAAAGGTCACTTGAGCATCTGCACGTCTGTCTTTCTGGGCATTACACTAAGTGCCACTCTCATTACCGGCTCCTTGGGAGCAGTGAAACATTCCACACAGGCTGTTGTTTCCAAATTCTCAGCCTGGCTTGTAGGCCACGGGGCAGGTACTTACCTGCCCGGTTAGTTTTGGCACCTGTGGAGGCCGGGGAAGAACTATTGCTGGTATCACCAGCAAGGGATGTCCGACTAGAATGAAAAGTTGGTGTTGGTCGTTTCAACTTGCTACCTGATGATGAGATAACCTTAAAGAAAAATAATAAAAAGGTCACATTTTACTTGGTAAAATCTTTGCTAGAAATTCAACTTTCAAAGGTCTCCAAACACCTCCTTATATTTGCTCAGTTGAAAAGCAAATTAAAAGTCCAGGAAAACAAAGATTTCTCTTAAAGTATCCTAGGTCATATATTTTGATAATTCCCAAAATAAAAGTTTTATGTTCCAATTAAAAGTTTCAAAATGCCTTCAAATACCTTTTGTTTTACTAATTTCCACTATAAATGGAAAAAAAAAATCCTTAGTAAGATTACAATAGTTACAACAAACGATTATGGTGAATGAGTAAAGGAAAAAGAAATTCGAATAATCCTAGGTATCAAGATTTTGGGGTTAAAAATTTGAAATGAGTTTTAGCCCCACCTATTTGATATGGAGATTCAAGTATTACTCCAATCTCTTAACACTAAGTAGGTGCAGTAACTTTAGTAAGATCTTTAGTCATTATCCTTATTGGTAAAATGCAGATAAAATTACTTAACTCGTGGATCAAATAAACTATGAGAAGCACATGACTGTGGGACTGAGACATCAGGAACAAGTCTGTGTGTGAAGAGCCTGGAGACCTGGGTTTGAGTCTGGGTTCCCAGACTGGTTGAAATTAACATCTGTCTTTGCTTCTCTCTTGGGAAATCAGGGATTAAATCCTGCCTCTCTGACTTCATTTCTACCACACTCCTCATCAGTCCATCCCAGCCACACTGGCTTCCTTGCTGTTTCACCAATGGCCCAGTGAGGGTCCCCCAGTCTTGTCCCCTTGCTGTTCATTTTGCCTGGACTGTTGTTGCATAATCACTACCCCCCAAGCCTACCCCAGATACGTGTGGCTGACCCCCTCATTCCCTGCGGAGGCTCTATTGAAAGGATGACCTTAGCAGAGAGGTCTTGCCTCACTACTCAGAACACTGCTTGTACACTTCTATTCTCTCCCCTGCTTCCTGTGTTCTGCACAGTACTCATCACTGTCTTACGTATGATATTACTTGTTCGTTGCCTGTCTCTCCTGCATTAAAGCATCAACTTCATAAAAGCAGGGACTTTGTTTTGTTCACTCTCACACCCTCAGCATGTAAAATTGTCTGGCACAGAAGAGGAACTCAATAACAACTTGTTGAACAAATAAATGATATATAGAAGCACTTCCCAAACTGGAAAAGAGCTATATATTATTATCACTGCTGCCAACAGGTGCTATGTTTCCTATTTAAGTGATGTTTTTTGGTTTTTTAGATAGTAGTCTTAACTGCAGGAAAAAGAATATTTTAAATGTGTGGGGTTTTTTGTTTGTTTGTTTTTTTGTTTTGAGACAGAGTCTTGCTCCATCACCCAGACTGGAGCGCAGTGGCATACTTCACAGCTCATTGCAGCCTTGACTGCCCAGGCTCAAGCAATCCTCCCACCTCAGCCTCCCTACTGGCTGGCTTATTTTTGTATTTTTTGTAGAGACAGGGTTTCTCCATGTTGCCCAGGGTGGTCCTGAACTCCTGGGCTCAAGTGATCTGCTCACCTCAGCCTCACAAAGTGTTGGGATTACAGGGGTGAGCCACCTTGTCCAGACTTAAATCTGTGTGGGTTTTTTTCTTTTTTTTTTTTTTTGAGACAGTCTCACTCTGTTGCCCAGGCTAGAGTGCAGTGGCACAATCTTGGCTCACTGCGACCTCTGTCTCCCAGATTCCAGTGATCTCCTGCCTCAGCCTCCCGTGTAGCTGGGACAACCAGTGCCTCCACCACATCCAGCTAATTTTTGTATTTTTAGTAGATACGGAGTTTTGCCATGTTGGCCAGGCTGATCCTTAAACGTTTTAAACATCCATTATTTGACCTTGTCTCTACTTCGCTTTTTAAAAAACGAAAAAAAAAAAAAAAAAAAAAAAAAAAGAAAACACAACCACTTACGCCACATGCTACAGCATGCCATTCTAATTTTTCTTTGAAATCAATTATGTAAATTGTTTTCCAGGACCTTTAAGACGTTTATGCAAATAGAAGAGAAAAGCAACCCATCTCATTGTGTTTGCTGTACTTCTTAAATTTATCAAGAAAAAGCATAAGCGACAGAAAGTGATTAACACTCAAGCACAAACTTTCCTGGCCACATAGGAGGAAGAGCACCAGTTTCAGAAGCTAAGGTTCCTGAGCACTGCTGCTGGAACACAACAGCTAGACCCCGGGCTAGAATTCCAAGTCAGAAGATGGCCTGGCTACAGAACACAATAAGTAAGGAAAGATGAAGCCTCAAAATGAAATGAAACAGAAAATAAAACCTTAAGACAGAACAAAAGCCCTGATTTATCAGAACTGTATGAGAATTTGTACCTCATCATTAAACATCTAAAATTTAAAATAGAACTTCTGAGATTTTTATGAAACTGGAGCCATTAAGGAAAGAAGAAAAGCAAGATGAGCAGGGTAAGTCTAGGAGTTTAGTGGCAGTAGGTCCCCAGATTATACTCTAAACCAGATACGTTTCTGAACTGGAGTTTTAGCTTGCAGTAAAATGAACCTCTAAACAGCGGCTCATTCACAGCCATTGCCTTCTTGTACATCCCTTGTTTCCCTGGCTAAGGCTTTCCAAGACTGAAGGCAACACTGTCTTTTGAGGCACAAGAATCCAATGTTTCCCGGTAGGAGCTAGAATGCAAACTGCACTGCTATCAGACAAGCCACTAGTCCATGTTTTATTTCTAAAACACTGCTCTTCCAAAAGCGTTCAGGCATTTTAATGGCTGCACTTGAACATGCTTAATTGCTGGCATGTGTATTCAAATCAAGGCTACAGAAACTCAAGTGCCTAGGCCAAGAAATTCAGAAGCTAGAATGTGAGCCTCAGAGCAGTGTTCACTGGTGCTGTGCTTGGCTGAAGGAGACAGCACCCATGCCTCGGACCAGTGTGGTGTGGCAATACCAGCCACCCTGGACATGTGTCTCAGGGTGGGTGGCGCCAACCACTCTTCTGTTCTAAGCAAAGATAGAACATTGTAGAACATGCACCATAGTTGAATTTCAAGTGTTCATAACTCGTCTGAGTATCTGACATTTGGAGATTCCAAGAGGCCTGATTATAAATGATATCAATAAACAAATCTCCAGGAATGACCATCATTTACCATTCTGAACAAGTATCATTCTCAAGATTGTTATAAAGTTATTAAGTTATTAATCTAGTTTCAGGTATCTCTTATTTCTCTCCAATTTTGGTGAATCCGAGTTAGAAACCCCTGAAAACACTGGACTAGATGAATCAGCTGTGACAGCAAGCACCACAGAGATGGAAGAATGCAGGGATTCGTGTCAGGAAGAAGAGCTGGTCAAGTCTATTAGCGAGGGCCTTGTCTTGACTGTGTCCTCAGTCAGCAAAGCCATACTCTACCTCGGGGCTGGGCAGCTGGAGGTCAGGAGAATGGCTGTCCCTGATAGGGGTGCCAGCTTTACTGTTTACCAACCAGGGTTTGTCATAACAGCGAGAGAACTGAAGTGAAGTCTGTGAAACGGAAATCCAAAGGGAAGGACGGGAACAATTGAAAAAGGAACAAAAAGGGTGCACATTGGGAACAGAAAAAAATAGAAGATACTAAATTTTAAAGAAACAGAAAACAAAATAAAATGCATGTTGGTCCATCAGGATGAGAAGGACCAGGCAGGCACTAACATCCTCCATACATAACCCATCGTAACATCAAACTTAGCTGTTAGCTCCACTGCACAGCCAGTGCCTGGATTTTCTTTCCTTTTCCCTTAAATTTTTTATTTTTTTATTTTTATTTTTTAGAGACGGAGTCTTACTCTGTTGCCCAGGCTGGAGTGCAGTGGTGCATTCATAGCTCACTGCAGTCTTGCATTTCTGGGCTCAAGCAATCCTCTTGCCTGAGCCTCCTGAGTAGCTGGGACTATAGGTGCTCACCACCATGCTAGGCTAAATTTAAAAATTAGAGATGATAAATTTAGAAATTTGTAGAGATGGTCTTGCTATGTTGCCCACGCTGGTCTTGAACTTCTGGCCTCAAGGGATCCTCCCACCACAGCTTCCCAAAGGCTGGGATTACAGGCATGAGCCACTGTGTTCAGCCTGGATTTTCAAAAGTAGTAACACTGGATGGGCTCAAACTTAAAGTGAGAACATGAGGAAATAAACATTTCTGACATAACCAGGCTGAGTGCATATTTTAATAAATGTCCTTTGGAGTCATCTTAAAGGCCATATATCTGTGTACTGCTAGGAATAGGGCAGGCTTGGTCTGTATATTTTCATGTTTTATTTATAAAACAAAACATTTTTATTTTTATTTCTTCTCCTCACTGGAGTCTTTCAGAGGCTACCGTGAACAATGAACATCTGTGAGGGTGGGAGTCGGGAAGAAGGGCATAATGGAGATCAGTACGTACCTTGGTTCCACTGGCTGGGGTGGCTGGAGAAGATGGCATGGATGTACAGCTGTGGTTACTCTGACTAGCACTGGAGCTGGAACGAGTAGGGGAAGCTGCCCGGGAAGATGGTTTGGACCTTCGACCCCGTGAGCGGAAGGGGGTCATTCCCTGGGATGCCCCCTCTGGTAGGATGAATTTCTCTCTAAGTTCAATGTTAGTTCTACCTCGTGCTAAAAAGGAAATAAACACACACACAATATCAGTTATTCTCAAAAATGTATCTTTGATGGTTATACAGTGGCTTGACCCCATGATAACAGTTATGTAAGTTATATAGGTTTAGTATTATCTGTGGGTTCTTCAAAAATAGAGATAAACTCATGACACATCAGCCTTGTCAAGGTTCCTACCCATAGCAGATATGTTAACTGTATAATAAGCAAGTCTCTGTGTATAAAGAAGGACCAGCCCACTCTGCTGTTAGTGTCTTGCTTTGCCACTGTCCCTGGAGTAAGCACACTGTGACTACTAGAGGTAAAGCAAATGCAACAGTTCACAAACCTCTGAAATTAAATCAAAAGCCCTCTTTTCTCTCTCATAGTACATGTGTACTTTTTGCTCAATTTTTGCAGCATAGAGTAGAGAAAAATACTACTGAAATCGACATTGTTTAGACTCTTCTATTTGAATTCAGTCAGTAACAATCCTAAAGAAAGGAGTCCAGGAACTCAGGACAGTAAAAAGATCAGGAGAGAATCATTAAGAAGTAAACATGTAGGTGGGGAGAGAGAGAGACATCAAGACCATGCACAAAACTTGCTAGTGAGAAACTGTTAAGTGAAAAACTGAAAGCAGTAAAAGGCTAAAGGAGCAACTGCAAGTAGGAAAGGAACATCAAGATGCAAAGAACATGGAGACAGCACGGGAAGCCAGTTAGCGCTGTCTTGTGGCTTTCTGGGGCTGCACAACCAGAACTTAAAACGTGGATTCCATTGGAAGATCTTACGCACAGCCAACACAAATGTTAAATGCGAAAGATGCTACTAATTTAAAAGACATAATCCCTCTAGAATATGTTCTTAGATTATTTCTCACTGTAAGATGTAATCCTGCAGAAACCCTCTACCTCCTCATCCACTCTAAACTGTGCACTCTTTACAAAGTACTAGACACAGCTAAACAAATGGGACTGCTGGAGAAAAGGCAATCATTATGAGCAAAATATTTGTCATTCTTTTCTATAACAGATGTTTAACTGGTCAGAAACCATAAATCTAGAAGGTGGCAGGAAATTTTGTCCACTTTCTCTTCTGTCCTACCCCATATGGCCCTCAAGGAATTTGAGGAATTTTGGTAGAATCAGGTTTTAAATCAGGTTACGTAAGTGTCCAAGCAGCATGGTTCCAAATTCCTAAATCAAATCCAAATTCTTCTCAATATATTATATGCTGACAGAACATATCAAACTATCAGCTTAAAAGCACTCACTTGGATATCAAAACCTCTGAGTTATAGTCTAAGCTCTGTTGCCAACTGTGATTTTTTCCTGCTCTGGCCTCAGTTTCCTCAGGCTCACCAGAGACAATCAGGTCAACCGGTCTCTAAGAGCCCTGTTGTCTGGATGATCTATGACTTAATGGTCCCTGAAATGCTGAACTGTTTCCTTCCATGATCCAGTGTGTCCTTCCTCCTCAAGTCTCAACTATACGTGACCCTTGGCCGGGCAAAGTGGCTCACGTCTGTAATCCCAGCACTTTGGGAGGCCAAGATGGGTAGATCACTTGAGGCCAGGAGTTCGAGACCAGCTTGGCCAACATGGCAAAACCCTGTCTTTACTAAAAATACAAAAATTAGCTGGGCATGGTGGTGCATGCCTGTAGTCCAAGATACTCAGGAGGCTGAGGCAGAAGAATCACTTGAACCCAGGAGGCAGAGGTTACAATGAGCCGAGATCACGCCACTGCACTCCAGTCTGGGTGACAGAGTGAGACACCATCTCAAAAAAAAAAAAAAAAAAAAAAAAAGTTCACTTCTGAGCAAACGCTGCCAGGAAAAAAAAAAAAAAAGATATAAGAGGAAAACTTTGAAATTGCATTGCAGTTGAAGGAAGTGACATTTTAAATGTTTTAGGAAGGGCATTCTCCAATACCATAACAGTGATATGTTCCCTATGCACTGCACAGTTCACAGAATGTGCAATAATGCACCTGACCGTAATTAGCATCCCTATGTTACAGAGAAACTGAAGTATTCACAGAGGCTGAGGTCAAGCAAAGTGGCAGTAGAGGTGGACCTACAACTCATGTCTTCCACTTGACTTGGCCTCTTTGTCCTCCGACCCCCAAGCCATTCCCAGCCTAGCTCTCTGCATCACCACCTACACTTGCTGTCTCCACTCCTCCCCTCAGACCACTCACGCTTTCATCCCCACCACTCACAGAAATAGCTCTGGCAAAGGTCACTGACAACCTCTATCTCAGGAGGGCAATGAAAATTGCTTAATGGCTCATGCCTGTAATCCCAGCACTTTTGGGAGGCTCAGGCAGAGTGCTCGAGCCCAGGTTGGAGACCAGCCTGGGCAACATGGTGAAACTTCAACTCTGCAAAAAATTAACAAATTAGCTAGGCATGGTGGCATGTGCCTGTAGACCCAGCTACTCTGGAGGCTGAGGTGGGAGGATTGCTTGGGCCTGGGAAGTCAAGGCTGCAGTGAGCTGTGATCACGCCACTGCACTCTAACCTGGGTGAGAAAGACGCTGTCTCAAAAACCAAAATGACAACAAAAGTCACTTAATCTCACAACCCAAGGGACATCACTATTACAATGTTGGTGTGTCTTACTCCTTTGCACATCTGTGTGTGTGTGTGTGTATACACACATACTAAGTGTATGTATATATGTATACTAAGTGTATACGTGTATGTATATGTGTATATATGTGTGTGTATATATATCTCTAAGAGGGAGAACGGGACTGTGGACAGGCCCAGTGGACACCCATGTTTTGGAAGTGCACAGGGAGGAGCTGTCAGCAAGGGAGCAGGCGTCCTTGAAGCCAGGGGAGGACAGGGTTTCAAAAACACTGACCTGACCTCAGGTGATCCACCCGCCTCAGCCTCCCAAAGTGCTAGGATTACAGGCGTTGAGCCACCCCAGAAACTTTCCTCCATGCCCTACATGTCTCATGCAAAATTTTAACTAGCTGCTATGTATTATTTCATCATATGGATGTGAATTTATTTAACCAGTCCAATATTGCATTTTTGTTTAAATATTTTAAACATTGTAGCCAATGCTATGACAATTTGTAAAACATTTTGCATGTATCCACTATATTTCCTTAGAATAAATTTCTTTTTTCTTTTTTGAGACAGTCTTGGTCTGTTGCCTAGGCTGGAGTGCAGTGGCCCAATCTTGGCTCACTGTAACCTCTGCCTTCTGGGTTCAAGCAATTCTCCTGCCTCAGCCTCCTGGGTAGCTGGGACTACAGGCGCCCACCACCACGCTTGGCTAATTTTTTGTATTTTTAGTAGAGACGGGGTTTCACCGTGTTAGCCAGGATGGTCTCGATCTCCTGACCTCGTGATCTGCCTACCTTGGCCTCCCAAAGTGATGGGATTACAGGCGTGAGCCACCGCGCCCAGCCTAGGATAAATTTCTACATGTAGATTTTCTGGGGAGAAATTACATGATGTTTTACCTTAGGTAAAAACATCAACTGATAAATGTCAACCATGTGTCAAGGTTGACAGATGCCAGCTGATTCCAAAATGTTATACTAGTGTACATTCTCCAAAATAATATGAGTATGTTAAATTTACTTCATTCTGGCCAATTATTGTGCTATGAGCATGAGTGCATACAGGAAAAAAATCTGACAATTTGTTAGGTAAAAGCATCCCTCCGCTGTTGTAACTTGCACGTGGAGGGTTACTACACGC